TATTGTACAAATAACTCTATCCGTTAAATAATTTAACCAAATTAAATGCGAACAAACTCAATTGCACATGAGCTGCGTTAGGTACATACATTACGTAAATCACCAAATTGCATCACAAGAAAAGAGCTTAGCTGAAATCCAAAAGGAAACGGTAAAGATAAAGAGTGAAGAATACACTATGGCGGGAATTGCAAGCAGACATGAAAAGGATGAATAGCAACTGGAAAGAACTGGGAAGGATTGCTCAGGATTGAGTTGGCTGGAGAATGCTTGTAGGTTGCCTATACTCTTCCATGAGGGTTAACAAGCGTAAGTAAGTAAGTAAGTATGTTTAACAAGTGCTTACCCTATTTATGACATATCTGTAACTTATTTTTGTCTGACTGCGAATATTGAGTTACGTTTGATCAAATGGAGTCGGTTCACTCAACTTTTCCACTTCACGTCTCTTCTCTTTCGTCACTTCGTTTCTCTAATTGTCTGTCCGGACCAAAGACTGTGCGAAATATACTTATTCAAAGTTCATTCTCCTACGTGACTTATTTTATTTCGTTATTCTCTAACATGAATTGAGTCGATAAATATGTATGAAGGTAGCTGCGATATATATTTCGATAACATCATCATTCGTTCAAAATGGACTCAAATACCGGGTTAAAAAAGATCCATGAACTCATTCTATCCTCAGTAGCCAGTTAGAAGACGAAAACAATAAGCTAATAAATCTTCTACGATTTAAACTCGAGAAATTATTTAAATTAGTTACATGACCACTTAATGCCACAAATATAAGGTCATTATTTGTACACAACTAAATCATATGAGACATGAAATTGGTGCAATAGTTATATAATTAATTAACAATCATTTCGAAATAGTCGATCAAATAGCGACAATTGGTAAGTTAGATGAAAGTTTATTGTTAGAACAGAATGAAAATATAATAAAGTAATTACTTAATAATAGCATGATTAAAATAAATGAAATAATTTACCTTCCTCAAATATCCGCTCCGATCTAACACTTTTCATATAAGAATAAGAGTTGAAAGGGAATAATGTCTATGCCAATAAACTCGAACAATAAAACGTTAGAGTTTATGTAGAGGTTGCATAAGAGCCTCATAGTCTAATTGCATTAGCTTAAACTTCATCCTGCTAATGGCATTAGATAAGATTATGTCTATAGTCAGCATTTACGCTATTCAAGTTAAGTGTAATTCCTTGTACATTCAATAATTTTCATTTCACTAAGAAATAAGCTTTAAAAAAAGAATGAAATAAATTACTAGCCAGTATACATGTTTCTTATAAACTCAACGTTTTTGTATGAAACAGCTAATGTATTGTTGCAGTAAACGTGTATATTATATGAATCTAAATCATTTAGAACAAGTCACCAAGACTTTATACATCACACAAAAGTGTTCAATTAGAAAATCACATTAAATAACTCTGTTGTAGTTCAGTTGAAAAATTTTGATGTAAAAGAAGATCACACGAAAACATTAATCAAATGATGTAGATTAATGGAAATAAATCAATTTTAGAATAATACTATAGGTAAGAATAGGTAATATACTTATGACGCATTCCATATCAGTTCATTTGATTATAGACAAATAGTGTAGACCTTTTAAAATTTTAATTGATCTCATTAATGATATTAGCACTGTTTTAATTGTTTTAATAGTTAAGCCCACCTAATGAACTGATTCTTTAATTTGTTACACACACAATCAAAGTTGAATTACCCTAGATTATATATCATTTCGCCAATTTTTAATTATTTTCTCGTCGATACAATCAAAATTAAAATTCAATTTAATCTTTCCTAGCTCGGATATAAAGTGTGTAAATTATTGGGTTGAACAATTAGGAGACAAATTGGTCAAATTTTGAGACAATTATAATCATGAGTTGGTATCAACTGAAGGAACAGTGAAGTTCAGAGAGAACAAGACTAATTAGTGCTCATATTGAACTCTTCACTGATATTCAACCAAGATCCACAAGAGATCAGTAATAAAACTTTCATATTTCACACCAGATACAGTGAGGTACGATTTCCTTCTAGATATTTATTATCTATAGAAACAATGAAATTGAAACCGAAATATTTACTCATAAAGGAGATTGATTAACGATCGCTTAACTGTTGGCAAATTTGTTGAAGCTGAAAGTATTATCATTTTGAGTACTGATCAGTCAGATCAATGGAAGCGTTCTCAACAAAGCAACTGACAACCACTACTCTATGCATTAGCATCAATGTAAACTTTAAGAATAAAACAGCTTCCCGGTGCATTTGCATTTACAACTGATCCTGGCTCTGAATGAAAACTACCTTGAAATGTCTAAACTAAGTTAGTTACTATTATATGTGAAAATTATATTTGAAATAATCTCAGCGATTGAAATTTAAATAATTTCAACGTTTCGTCCAGCAAACTTGTCTGGACTTCCTCAGGGTACTAATTAAAATCAAAATGATCAGAGAAATATATAATGTTCAGTTTAGGGGTTGTGGAGATTATTACGTTTTTGGTTGAGACCATGAACCGATTGGTATTAGACCACCATTGAAAACCCGGGAGCACTGGACGGCCGTTTCGTTCTATTGTGGGACTCCTCAGCAGTGCGCATCCACGATCGCACTCAAGAGATTCGAACCCAGTCTCGCGCGCGAACGCTTAACCTACTGGACCACTGGTGTTAATGTCTAACCTCAACCAATCCACGGAACTGAGTGACCATCTTCCAATGTACTGAGGTAGATACCTGACTCAACCCGACACGGATTAGCTCTACTGGTCACGACTTCTCAATAGAACTCCGAGAATTCCCTCACGAAGCTTTGTGAGATAGGTATCTACCTCAGTACATTGGAAGATAGTCGTGCAAGTTCGTGGATTGATTGAAGTTAGACATTAACACCGTTGGATGTTGGCTCAGTGGTCTAGATGTTAAGCGTTTGCGCGCATGACGGAAGGTTCTGAGTTGGAATCTCACGAGCGAGATTGTGGCTGCTCATTGCTGAGGAGTCCCACAATAGTACGGAACGGCCGTCCAGTGCTCTCAAGTTTTCAACGGTGGTCTAACATCAATCGGTTCATGATCTCAACCACTGAAATAAATAATTGTAATGATAAAATATCTCAATTAATTCCTGTTAGAATCACGATGCATGTGAAATAAACAGGTTGGTAGAGTCCAATTACTTGTTAATCAACATTCGGCTTGTGGTGACTAGTTGAATATCATCTTTTCTGTTCAGGCTCTTCTTATTAGCCAATACATACAGCGCTTCTATTGTCAATCTTTCTTTATGTGTGTTAAAACCTTTCTGAAGTATTTTGGTCACTTCGAAGTTGATCTTATATCGTGTTTCTAATAAATGTAAATCTATCTCCGACCTATAATCAAGTTTCTTCAGATCAATCGAGGATTCAGGAACATTTTTCAGACATTGTTTGTGTTCTTTCAACCTCACATTCAATTGTCTTGAAGTTTCTTCTACATAAGCTACAGTATGATCATAACATTTGATCTCATAGACAACATTCTGTTGTTCTTCCTTTGAAAAATTATCCTTAACTTTCACTAATGATGATCATATGGTGTCACTAGCCCGAAAATACACTCTTATATTATGTTTGTTTAGAATCCTCTTAATTTCTTCCGATGTTTCTCTACGGTATGGAGTGACCACGGTGGAATTCTAATCTTTCGGTATGCACTCAAACTTAGTTTTTCTTTCATTTTTAATTATCTTCTTTAAAAGCTCTTTAGGGTAATTGTTCACTCTAATTGTAGACAACCCTGATCATAAGCAAACCAGATAAAGGAGGAGGTATAGTTCTCATGAAACAAAAAGGATTATATGGAAAAAATGGAAAACAATGCTTAGTGATCCTAGCAAATTTCAGAAAGTTACTAGTAATTATGACATCAATAATAAAGTAGAAAGACAACTGGGTAATTTCCTTAAGGATCTAAAGAAATAGGTAATAATTGTGACTGAAATTCGTGATTCAATTAAGCCGACAGGATCATATACACCACGACTATACGGTTTGCCTAAAATTTATAAACCGGGTCTTCCTCTACTCCCAGTTCTAGATATGTACAATTCTCCTTACCACAAAATTGCAAAGTGGCTAGTGCAAGTCTTAGAGCCTTTGCACAAACCAGTTGTTATAAATAGTATAAAAGATGTCTTTGACTTCACCTCCAAAGTGGAAAATATTAATGTTAGTGTGAAAAACATGATCTCAGTGGATGTAGTATCTTTGTTCACCAACGTACCACTTATAGAGACTATTGAGTTTATATGCGAGCAAATATCAGAAAAACAAATCAACATTGGCTTGCCTGACGATAGTTTAAAGGAATAGCTCTTAAGATGCACGCTGAATATCCATTTTGTCTTCAACAATATTTATATTAGCGCTAATATCCATTGGATAACCATGGGCTCACCTCTAGGCCCGATTTTAGATTATCTCTTCCTAGCAAAGCTAGAAAATGGACCTCTTAATGAGACTATTAAGAAGCTTGATTTATATTAGCGCTACATCAATGACACTTTCATTATCGTAGATCAAAACACCAGTAAGGATAAACTCTTGAAACAATTCAACAGTGTTCATCCAGCGATCAGTTTCACTGGTGAAAGCGAGTATGACAAAAAGCTGAACTTCCTTGACGTCACACTAAGCAGACGAAGTGATAGCACATAAAGTAGAAGCTTGTATAGAAGAATCCCCTCTGTTTGCCAATATACTCACTTCTGCAGTTTCACACCTATCCGCTACAAGAGAAATTTGGTTAGATGTCTCACTAGCAAAGCTAAAAAGATACTCTAAGTCAGAAGCTTGGATTTATCAACAACTCACTGACCGAGATCGGCCACCCCAATGTTTTCATTAAAAAGTACATGTATGACTGTTATATCTGTGAGACAGTAGCAGCTGATTTGAGGGTAGCGATTTATCGATCGGACCAAAGACGCACAGACACGTAGAACGACCTAGGGTTCTGATTGGCCCCGCTTCCCTATCTAGCCCAGCAGTTGAGTCCAGAACGCAAGTCACAGCCTCGGATATATGAATCATTATATTTCAAACATACTTTGTTTATATACCAGTCAAACAAACCACATCATACCATAAAACAGAAATAACATTGTACAATATTGGCCAGTAGGAAAATGACACGTGAAATGAGTACTGACCAATAAGAAAATAATACCATGTCCAAGTCCAAGAATAACATTAGGCTAAATAGGATAACTTCTGGGATATTTTCCTGAATATCCCAACACCTCCCCTTTTTTGGAGATCCGGATTTTGGATTTCTTCGCGTCTATCCTCCCCCGCGGAATAATGTTGGGTCCTCGTATACCCAAGTAACAGTTAGTGTGACTCTATTTAAAGCATATTTCCCGCATTGAGTAGAGAGTCCACTAGAGCTGACTAGATGCTGAGGATCAGCGACAGTAGATATGAGGTCATAAGAGTTTGATTCTTGTGAAACATTCCCATCAGATCTCTTCGAAATTCCATTAGTGGATAATACGTTACCAAAATAAACAGCATCTATCAAAATTGTATTAGATTTCTGACCATTGTTTGATGCATGTGACACATTCTCTGGCAAAACAAGAGGATCTTTTCGTGAGCTGGATATGCTACTGTCTGTACATGCTGTTTCGGGGATGATGGAGTTTGACTCCATTACCGGGCATGTTTCTGGAATAGAAAGTACTGGACCACCGGGCGCATCATGGACGACTGTTTCGTTTGAAGTACAGTTCATCGAGGATTCATGGAGGCTGTCATTTTCCAGCTCACTGTGAAACTCAGATATCAATCCGTCCACTTCCGTCGCATCTTCATAACGTGACTGATTTAGCAGCTGCGTGCGGAATTTGACTAATAACTCCAAATGTCGTTCAAAGAGCAGCTGTAATCGATCGGAAGGGAGAGTCATTTTTCCGAATCAGCACTTGTGATGAGAATTACTGTGTGAATAATGACCAATGTCGTTCAAGGACAGTGACGACAATCTGGATGCTGATTGGTTGAATAATTAGACTGGATTTCGTCCAATTACAGAATGACTTTGGATTGTTGTTTTTTTCTTCACCCCGTCGCCAATTGTTATATCTGTGAGACAGTAGCAGCTGATTTGAGGGTAGCGATTTATCGATCGGACCAAAGACGCACAGACACGTAGAACGACCTAGGGTTCTGATTGGCCCCGCTTCCCTATCTAGCCCAGCAGTTGAGTCCAGAACGCAAGTCACAGCCTCGGATATATGAATCATTATATTTCAAACATACTTTGTTTATATACCAGTCAAACAAACCACATCATACCATAAAATAGAAATAACATTGTACAATATTGGCCAGTAGGAAAATGACACGTGAAATGAGTACTGACCAATAAGAAAATAATACCATGTCCAAGTCCAAGAATAACAATAGGCTAAATAGGATAACTTCTGGGATATTTTCCTGAATATCCCAACAATGACATAATAAAGAGATCGGAGATTTCGACTGTTCGTAAGAAACCTTTATACATGAAACTACAATTCAACGGGGATGGGGCTAGTGATACTCTGAAATATAGGTTAACGAAAGTAATCAGCAGGACATTCTACGCAACCAATCTTGCGTTGACCTTCTCTAGTCGACCAGCGATGTCTACTCAAACGAAGGATAAATTACCTGTGTTGGCCTCCTCAATGTGCACTTACAAATTCAGCTGCCCCTGTGGAGATAGTTATATCGGGCGTACTACCAGGCAACTTAACCAACGAATGAGTAAACATCTACCAGCTTGGTTTATAAAGGGCCAGATAAAAACAATTCGCAGTTCTATCGTGGCACATCTTATTGATAGCGGTCATGCTGTAGATAAATCGAAATCATTTCAAGTGACCTATCGTATACCTCCATTATTTCCTAACGAAGTTTGTTCCCGCCTCCTACATATAGCTGAAGCCATTGGAATTCGTACATATAACCCCCTCTACCCCTTCCATGGCTAGTTATAACTTAACAAACGATTTTTTTATTTTCATTGTTATTTATTTATTTTATCCTATTTTTGTTATCATTAACCTTATTTTCACATCCATTCGTTTGTAATTTTCCGTCTCTTTCCTTTTGTAATCTCCACCATCTAATTATTTACACACTTCTTATTACGTAATGGATTCAATGTTTTGTGATGGCTATTCCAAGTCTATTTACCCACGTTTGACTGTTGATAAGACTTTTGTTATCGTAATTTATTACTCTTACTACTATCAGTACACCTGTCTTCCTACTATCAACGTGTATTTTACCTATTATGTGTGGTGACTTATTCTATTTCATTGTGATTATTGACCAATATTGCCTTGATTGGTTTAACATTTTCGTATAAATATTCATGCATATTAGAGCAAAGCCTGATGACGATCTGATTGAAAACAATTGTTCGCTTATATGTGTTGTTGTAATTTTCACAATGGGAATCTTTAATATTCTAAAATTCAATTCAATTCAACCCGCTGGTTTTCCTTATCTGTAATGAGATTGACACTCCTATTAATTAAATTTTTTTATAACTGAATTTCCCACAGTATGCATAGGCCGAGTCGTAATCTATGTATCTCTCAGAATGTGTTGATTTTCTGAGTACATGTTTCCTCAATTTATTATTGTCTTCATCCAACCAAACAATCGAGAAACGCTAGTTTCTGGTCATTGGACTCTATTTCCTTGGCTAGCTTGATTCTCTCCAAAATGCTGTTTACATTTTCAAACACTTCTTCCAAACCAATGTCATCTATATACCATAACCAAAATTTTGGAGGATTCATATATGTTCTGGTCACGCTGGTTTCCGGGGAATGCATGAATAAACTCGCTGCAATCAGAGAGATTGGTGAACCCATTGACACACCTTTCTGTCTGTAAAGGTCGCCTCGAAATGTGAATAAGGTGGATCGTAAGCATAATTCCAAACACTTAATAGCTTCGGAATGGCATCGTAAATTCAGACCTAAGTCATATTCCGAAAAATCACGCAAAATGTCCAATACTTTAATGGTAGGTACATTAGTAAATAAGGAAGAAGTATCAAAACTTGTCATCATTTCATCTTCTTGTATATGTATGGTATCGATACTATTTAGTAGTTGAATTCATTAGTCAATTAAAGTTCGACCATTGAAGACCTGAAAGCACTTGACGGCCGTTTCATCCTAGTAAAGGACTCCTTAGAAGTGTGCATAGACGGTCCTGCACATGAGAATCGAATCCAGGGCTTTCAGTCTTGCACGAGAACGCTTAACATCTAAACAACTGGGCTGGTATCCAACGTTGTTGATGTCTAACTTCAACCAATCCACGATATTGCGTCACCATCCATCGTTATCTTCAGTGAGTAACTGTCTCACAACAGACACAGTTGAACTTCACTGCTCACGGCTCATGAATTCAACCATCAAATTACTAAAATCTTCATAAAACAACCATTCTGGTAATAATCGGTATTATTCTTAAATTCAATAGTTTTAGTTCCATAATCAATCAATTTTTCATACGATTTGCGTATCCTAGCTAGGTATTTCGCTAGATTACCAGTCAATGCATTTGTAAATTCAATTACTGATCATCATAGGGTATGATTCTTGTGAGTCGATTTCTGTCAAACTATTCATCCTAATATTTATGAATATTCGTATAAGTTAATTACTACTTGCTAATTGTCAGTAGTTTATTGAACCTCACAAATGTTTATGAATTACTTCGTTTAATTGCTACTTCTCATCGAAGAAAAAAATATTTTTCCTTACCGTAACTATTAGTTCACTGAGTTTTGAATGTAATAAATATTTAGTTCAAGGATTAATGTGTTAAGTTTATTCTCTTCTATATTCTGTTACCTTATCCATATTCTGCATGCACATTAATTTATATATTCCAAGTTTAATTCTTCACAAGATTTATGTAACATAAATGATAATTCTATCTAGTAAGTTCATTGTGAATAAGTTTAAAACTCTTGAAACATAATCTATATCTATTAGAGTTTATAAAAACTACTGATTTTCAACGTTATAAATGATATTGTGGAGAATTTTAAAAATCTCATTGGTTGAAATCATGACCACCATGGGAAACCTGGAAGCACTGAACGGTCGTTTCGTCCTAGTATCGGACTCCAGCAGTGCATACCCACGATCCCGCCCCCCCACGACATTCGAACCCAGGACCTATCAGTCTCGCGCCAGGCGTTTAACCAACTAGAACAATGAGCCGGCATTCAACAGTGTTAATGTCTAACTTCAACCAATCCACGATATTGCGTCACCGTACAATGAGTTCAATGAGTTCCTATCTCACAACAGACCTGGTTGAACTCCAATGGCAACGACTTCTCATTAGAACTCCAGGAGTGTCTCCTAAAGTCAATTACTAGTGAGCAAGTGATTATTATTATTATCAGAATGGGTTTTGTGGAGATTTTTAGAAATTTCACTGATTGAAATGATATTGTTTCAATAATTTAATAAATCAATAAAGGAAAAAATATTATTTTTATTGATTTTTACTCTATAATATAAGTAATTTGATCTAATAAAATAAATACAAAACAAGCCATCATAATCATAAGTAGAAAAAAATTTTTTTTTTAAATTCAACCTATAGCTTCAATTAGTAAATTAAAATCTCTTATTCATTTAAGCATAAAAATAGAGTGACCACGTGGTTAAAAAAAAAGTCAATCGATAGATAGTTCTTCTTTTCAATAAATCAATAAATTAAACGTTTGTATGAATATTAATAATTATTTACTAAACTAATTTTAAATAATTCGATTGTTATGATTAAGTTGAGTTACTCAATGAATAAAAAGATGTTTGCTTAGAAAATAATCAAATATAAGCAATATCAAATCATTTTTTTACTATCATAAACATCGTATTCTTTTCTATGTACAAGAAATAGTTTCAGTTTAATAAATCTGTAAGACAGATCTGAAAAAAAAAGTTTAATATTTTGTAGAATTGGTGTCTATGTCTAAGGAAATAACACCAATTAACAATCCCTAAATATCCATCAACTTCACGTGATTTATCAGTTCTTCAATAAGACGAAGATTGAATATCTTAGATAACAGAAAAAGTTGTTTTTGCCTTTCTACTAAAGAATATAATTCATTCTGATACTTGATATAAGGAATTCTATTGTGTAGTTTGTTTTGTTGTTAAACGAATAAGTTTAAATAATTCAACCATTTCTCTCCATTGTCTTTTTTGTTTGATTAAAATGTGCTCAAGGAATTTCATTTGTGCTAAATTGTAAGTAGATGTTCAGGTGTAATTTCACTAGCAAAGTGGAATATAGCGACTGGTGTTACCGTTTATAAAAGTGTGAAAGAAGACAGCCATCGATATAAAGCGCAGACGATAATGGTGGTCTTGTTTCCCCTCTAGATTTTGGTGAATTATTTCAAAGTCTCGAAATTTTGCTTGCTAATCAACTTATATAGAGGGCAGATTCCACTTTTGATAAAGAGTTATGAATGCCCAAACTCGGTGATTCAGCACAGTGGAATACATCAGCAAGGACGTAAGATAATACACTTAGTATCTTGAATAATAAGACTAGATTAAGTCCCCGCATTATATATCTACCATTTGAAGAGGATATAAATGTATCCTTAGTGTGTAGAAGGATACCAAAAATAATTTTATACTAATTCCATTATATAAATTTATGTATGCTGTTCCATTTTATTTAATGATATTAAATCATACACTCCTTACACCAGACTAATTTATTTAATACAATAGTCTTCAACTTAGTGTATATTGATCCTTACAATATGACTGAGATATCCTGAGGAATGACTTACAATATAATAAATAAATCACTCCGTTTTATACCGTTGAACTTTTTTGATAAACATACTAGATATCATTGAGAAATAAATAGAAATAAGACTAATTTCAGTCAATCCAATTTGAGTAAAAAAACTCAAACACATATAGACTAACTATAAATGCCTACAATTAAGCTTTTTTTCACTTAGAAAGAAAAACACGAAATCTATCAATAATACAATCAGTTGTTGAAGTTGA